ACCCACAATGATGAGTTTCCAACAGTATCATCGACAGTCGAACTTTGGGGCACGACCTATTCTACTGACACACGACGCATCCAACGCAACAGTGAAATGCTGACGGGAACCATTCCTACCGAAATTGCCTACTTGACGGAATTGACGGAATTGCATCTCTCCCGCAATGCCTTGACGGGCAGTCTCATTCCCGAACTGATGCAGATGACGCAACTCCAATCGATTCGTCTCAATGCCAATTCATTGACCGGTACCATTCCACCGGAACTGGCACAAGAGTTGACGGATTTGCAATTTCTCTGGTTGGATCAGAATTTCTTGACGGGGACAGTCCCTCCCAGTATTTGTGCTTTGGAATTTCTCAACTGGGATGTCGACTGCGACGTGCTGGATTGTTCCACGTGCTATGAAAGCACCGCCAGTCCCACGTCCGACGAAGCAGGAGTCGAATCTTGTGATGCCTCCTACGTGGATGGTGAAATTCGTGGAGATCGCTGTTATGCCGTCGACACGGAAGTGTGTGTGACGACGTATCCGACCAAAAGTTGCAGCGTGATTGAACAGAACTTTACCTATTACAACGAGTACTATTCGTGGGATTATGAAACACAGACATTTCGAGGCAGTGGACCCTTTCCCGGTGGAGGAAACGGCGGAGGGAGTGGTCCAGGGAACGGTGGAGGGAATGGGCCAGGGAATGGTGGAGGGCCAGGTCCTGGAAACAGCACAGGAAATGGTCCAGGCAATGGTGGAGGGAATGGGCCAGGCAATGGAGGAGGGAATGGACCAGGCAATGGCGGAGGACTAGGTCCTGGAAACAGCACTGGTGGAGGGAACGGGCCAGGAAACGGAGGAGGAAATGGCAGTCGAGGAAGTGGACCATTCCCGATTCCCAGATGACAGCACAGAGGATGATGAAGGAGGTCCCACAACAGCACAGACTCCAACAGTACAAGCGCGACTCGATAGATGGAGCCAGTCGAGGTAGTGGACCATTCCCGATTCCCAGTGACAGCACAGAGGATGATGAAGGAGGTCCCAACAACAGCACAGACTCCAACAGTACAAGCGCTGACTCCATAGATGGAGCCAGTCGAGGAAGTGGACCATTCCCGATTCCCAATGACAGCACAGAGGATGATGAAGGAGGCTCCAGCAACAGCACAGACTCCAGCAGTACAAGCGCCGACTCCATAGATGAAGTCAGTCGAGGTAGTGGCCCATTCCCATTTCCAAGTGCCAGCGAAGGAAGCGCCAGCAACAGCAGCAACAGGCTATTGGAGAGCAATGGAGACGACAGAACATTTGTTTATGATGTTTATGCCGAGGTGAACATCAAGCTTGATACTTGCTCGCGAACATGTGAGATCTCAGTGGGTGGATATGTTTGCAACTCCTGTGAAGTGCCACGTGGAAACATGCAAAGTGTAACCATGATTGATTGCAGCAACATCCCCGCTGATGTCATGGAGGGCACCTTTGAAACACCGCAGACTCTCAAGTTGAACAACGATGATGGAAGAAGCTTCGAACTTTCTCCCACTGAAGCAATGTGCAATCATCCAGCTGTCACCGCTCCTGATCCCACTCCAGCTCCTACCGAAATATACTACCCGACTTACTGTGGTGATGCCTGGAGTTTTGGTGACATTGTGGAGGGCGAATGCTACTCACTTGATACAGGTTTCTGTGTCACAGAGTATGACAACTGCATTGAAATCTCCCAAGGCTGGTCATTCTATAACCAGCTGTATGATGACGAATACATGCCGATTGGCCCCTACACAGTATATGGCTACATAAGTGCTTATGCGGACACTTGCAATGATATCTGTATCATTGATGTGGAAGGATATGAATGTGACTGCAGTTTGAATGGAACTTCCTTGACCATGGAGGCATGCGACAGCACACTTGATGGCTACATTGAGACTCCCCAGATTGTAGATTTGCCAGGAGGTAACTTCAGGCTCATCTCCACTGATGAAATGTGCAATCACCCAGCAGTGATAGCCGAGACTGATGGCAGCAACCGTCAGGGAAGTGGCACTGGAAAGCAGAGAAATGGTGCACTAGTACTCAAATTCCCAGCGTCATTGACTTTTCAATTTGAATATGGGACTGGCAGTGCTCTGGATTTCAAGGCCAAGACCCGGCTGTTCAGTGGTATCATGAAGTTTATGGCTGATTCACTGAGAGAACATGACAGGTTCAAGGATACCCTTTTTGATGCCACCATGGAACAGATCGAGGTAGACTATGATGTCTCTGTATCACCAGATGAATGGATTGTCTCCTTTGATGCCATCATTTCATTGGAGCGTGGAACCAAAGCACACCAAAGAGATTGCATTATGGCTTTGGCAGATGCAGACTGGGATGGTTACCTATCCAAGTATGTGCACCAACTTGACAAGCAGTCAGTGTCAAGATTGAGGAGCAACAAGTCCGATTTAGACAAGATACGGAAAGTTAAGTTTCGAGCTATTGGAACAGGCAGCAGCTAGAAGGCCAGGAAGAACTGGTTGCGGCTATGTGGGCCTGTTGGCCATGCTCTACATGAATGAAATGCATATATTTCTAGAACTATTTTACAGTGGATTTGAAACCCTGCCCTGGCTGTTGGACTCCTCAGACCTGGTTGATGCTCCAATCCTTTCTCCTGTCGTTGCTACTATAGTAGCCGGTGGCGTCGATGATTTGCACCGCCCATGGGAGTGCAAGTGGGTCATCCCGGCAGAAAAAAAACACCTCCCGGCAGAAAAAAACACCTCCCGGCAGAAAAAGCCATGCCGGCTTTCGAGGGCTTCTGCAGAGTGCACGCCAGCCTGCTTCAGGAAAAAAGTGTTTCTGCGGACTCAAAAAGGGCGTTTCTGCAGAGTTTTTCATTCCCAGTGTAGCTAGCTAGTATGCAAATGCAAGACTTTTCGATCAGGATGGGATGGCATTGGATTTCTCCACTCCCTCTTTGTGGTAGACCTAGCATGGTTCTCTATATGTATGTAGCTGTAGCCTGCTGGAGCTGCTAAAACGCCTACTTTCTTTATTTCGAGTACACCGAGTGAGCCCTGCGCTCTGCACTCTCCGCTACTCCTCAAGACAGCTCCCATGACAGAATTGGTATCTTCTTCTTCTTCTTTTACAAAAGAACCATAGACAAATGCTTTAATTAATTATGTATTCCCTTTTATCTACCGAAAATGTCACGACCCCCACCCATTGAAAATGCCACGACCCCTGTTGAGAAGAACGCAACTAAAAGACACGCCAAACTCAATTATAAAAAGCTCTATTTTTTAGCTTTCTAACCCATCTGCTCTATTTTGCTACTTGTTTTCTTTCTAGACTTTCTTACAAAGCTTTAGATCAAATATATTAGTATTTGGGTACACCCAGCCAGTGCACCGAACCCTTTTGACCCAACTTGCTTAGGACTCTTTTAATTAAATTGGTTTGGATCAGGTAGATACGACAATCGCTGTCTAGGCCATGAGGCAGAAGATATTGCAGATTTTGGTCCAATTTGAGAGCCTTTTCATGGTGTCCAACTAGTACCGTAGTATTTCTATCGCTTTGAGGTCTCAATACTGGGAATGTTTTTATACAAGTCTGTGAGTCTCAGTATCAAGAGATTCCTACCATATCTGCATCTGTTTCTAAAATCTAAATAGATCTACTCGCCTTCTCATTTCCCAAAGGAGTTCTTAAATTTCAGGTTTCGAGTGAATTTTCTCATTAAGACCCAGCGTGCTGAAATCTCCACCACTTCTGTCCGTCGTCGGTGGGGCAAATGTGCAACCTTTTAATAAAATGACGAGACTCAGAACGTAGGAAATTTTATGCTCTATCCAGTGGTGTAGTTGAATTGCACTACGCTAAAAGCTAGTGTAAAGATCTTTCGAGTGTTTTGCGTTTGAGAGAATGAAAGTTATGAGAGAGATTAGAAAGCTATGAAAACTATTCAACGAGAGAGATCACGATCAAAGGATCTGCAGATCGTAGATCTAGTCTCCCGCGGGAGACTATAAAGTGTGATAGAGTAGGTTGCGGTAGTAATCCTACGTATCTCCACGATCCTAAAACGGACGCTGGAAGTTCGTCTACATGATCTAGTAGCGTGAAGTACCCACGCTGGCTAAATATCTAGAGCGATGTTTCATCAAACCTAGTATGACTAGACAGTCATTGAGAACCCTGTCTCAATAACTATTCACGGAGACTCAGTCATGAGTCAACTCAAACCCTATTAGGATCGAGTCGCGAATAAGGCTAAGAGCCGTGTATTGCAGAATATAAGAACGCCCGATGGTCGGAAGATAATGTCGCAACTCTAAACAAGCTGCGACAACCGTTGGTGCGATCGTTCCTTTGACCTCTTTATTTAGGCGGGATCTTGGCTGTCTGGCGTGGGATTTAAATAATTAGTTAACTGATCACGAAACTAAGGTCATTTTTTTCCGAATTTCAGCGAAACTTGCTTCCAAGCGAAGGTACGGTACGATCGCAAACTATTAACTGCTTCCGACCACGATGACACAAGCAAGCAATGATTGTTCGAAACTAGACCAAGCCTATCCAGTTCACCATATCAACAGCTCCTGCAAGTAAAGCCAATGCTGTGATTACCCCAGAGCAGGCTGCAAGAGATCCATATGATGGCGAGAGCCCATACATCAAGATTCACAGGGAAAGAAGTCAGATCAAGAAGGAAACTGGGGAAGCCATCTGGCTCCATCTGGAGGCAATTCAACACCACTACCTGCTGGAGCTGACACAAGCAGGAGACTGCATCAACATCAACAACAAGACCCGTGCAACCAAGTGCAGGTGCATGATGGCTAGTTGCTTCAAGATGGAAGGGGAGAATTTGAAAAGATTGCTCAATACATTCTGGTCTATTCGCTCATGGAATGGAAGGAACAACGGTCTTTATTGATAGAGTGGATCAAGTACTCAGAGCACATCAGTGAGCTGCGCAATGAGATAGCATGCAGAAGGCCATCTAGGCGCCTAGTATTCCTGCTTCCTGGAACAAGATTCATGATCTGCAGAGATGGATTGTGCCGGTTGCTTGGAATTGGAGAAGACATTTTTCACTCCATGACAGGCTGGCGAAGAAGGGTGGAGCACCAGTGGACGGACTTTCCAACAAGCCTGGCAACAGAAGGAACTTGGAAATGGATGCTGTTCTGAATGAGTTCTTTGAAGGTTTGAAGACGTACACAGTTCCAAGGGCAACATGTCTTGTGTCTGAATTCTGCAAGTCCAACAACACGGTCACGACTGCCACCAAGGACAATAACATCATCGAACTACCAACGGCTTTCACAAAGAGGGCTATCTAAGGGCGTCTACTTCGCGAAAGGGGATGGAGGTATATCTACATGTAGCTACCTTCCACATTTCGTGGCAGAAGAACCCGGGGATACGTATTACTACTTTTCCCTCAATGTCTATGTCTTTGGTGTTGTTAATTGCAGCCGTCGTCCTTACACCTTGTCAGCTTTGACTTACACAAAAGACCAAGCGAAGAAAGGTGGAAACAATGTCTGCAGTCTTCTCTTGCACGAGATAGACCGGCTGGGCTTTACAAAGACACAACAGCCCTACAAGGAGATTAATATCTTTATGGATAATAGTGGTGGTCAGAACAAGAATCAAATGGTGCTACGGATGCTACACTATCTTGTGAAGAAGGAGTATTGCAAGGTGGCTAGGGCTTCCTTCCTTGTTCGAGGGCACATGAAGAACGATTGCAACCGACTCTTCAATCTACGGAAACACCAGTGGAGGAAGACAAACACGTACACTCCACAAGACATGTTCGATTGCATGAACAGTCACAAAGACGTCGACCCAAGTATGGTGGAGCAGTCGGTATTCAGAGACTGGGCAACACAACAAGACTCAATGATTAAGCGACCAAGCCAACAGACCAAGCAAAACCATATCTTCACAGTGGATGCCGACAGAGACAGCAACATCATGTACATTCAACAGTATGAGGGCGACAAGGAGGTTGCAATGCAACTAGTTACTGATGAATACAAGGACAAGCCAACAAACTTTTGGAAGCAGCTACCACCACCAGAGCCACTTCATCCTATATGAATCCAAGACATCAAATGGAAGGAGCTACATGACAAGTGGGGCAAGCTTATACCTGAAGACAATAATTGTGGCCTCATCTACTACCACCAATCTCCACCACAAAACAAGCGAAAGGCAGTCAAAGATCAATCCAAGGAAGCCAAAAAACAAAGGAAGGACAGGAATACCACTGTGGTGCAGACTGGTACAATGAGAGCCAACATCTAATGAAAATGTAAGTGAAAATGAGGTTGTTTCTTGTTGCGGGATTGCGTTCCACCATGGGCGTCTGTGAGCTACAGTAACGAGTTTTTCCGATTTTCGCATGTTCGCGATTTTAGATGTCACTGCAGCCGCCGTCCGCTGGGTCTTATTTTTGTAATTAATTATTTTGCCCCCATGTTCTCTCAGAACATTGGCACAATAGCTGGCTCGAGTGTTTTTCTAAGCACTCAGTACGACTGTACTCGTATCATTAGCTGGTAACAAGGTAAGACTTCGGAAGCTATTTCGGAACTGCTATCGCGAAGTTTTGCTACTACGGATTACTGCTAGCTACTAGTAGTGGTATTAATTGCATGTCCCAGCATCAAATAAATGTACGTAGACCAGACATTTTTCTGTGCCAGATTTTGAGGTCTCGCTCGGTCCAATTTTTAGGGGGGATTAGGCATAGGAAAGGGGGGAAAGAGAGGAGGAAAAGAGGAGGAGGGTTAGAGTGAGATTCCGGATTCTTCATTACGTATGCCAGTTTGATTACGTCATCCCATTCTTTTACTTATGAGGAAAAAGGGCAAAGGCAGTCGTAAGGTCATATCATTAAATAAAGGGGTATTCTATCCCCTCCTTGCACGGCTGCCGGCACCAAAAAGACACCAAAAAGACAACCGACAGTGGTTTGAAAGGACGGAAGCTACTTAACGGACCAACTATTCTGATCTAAACCCAACCATAATTTTCGAATTTCTCTCCTGATCTGATTATGCACTAATTATTAATAAAACCTCGACAATGAGCATCATGCGGCGGTCGACCTTTCTTCCTTGGCACCGTATTCCTGTATGCTCTATTTCTTTCACAACAGTAGAGCTGTGGTGTTGCCGCCACCATGGCATGCGGAGCCATCCAGTGAGCGAATTGCATCATTTGCATCATTTGTTGTTGTTGGTGGAACAGTTGCTGTTGGTACGCCATGGTGGCAGTTGGTTGCATTTGAATTTGAAACTGTTGTCCTAACTGTTGTTGCTGTTGCGGCTGTTGCTGCTCTTGTTCCTCTCTAATTGTAGTAGTATCCGTTGTCACCGTTGGCGATGCTGGCGCACTTGGTAATCGCTCATCGTCATTGTCATCGCCATTTTGAATTTGGTGCACCTGTCGAACGATGCCAAAACAACCAGAGCACAAACAACGATCTTGCAAATCATAGGTAGGCTTTGTTTCATTCATCCACGTAATATACTCAGAGAAAAATCGCTCACCAGTATCCTCTCCCAGCAACTCCACATTCGAAAATGGTGGCGGTGCACCGGCCTGAAGTGCCAGTCCGTTAACCCAATTCAGCTCTGAATGATTGTAAAATGGCACAATTCCCTCCCAATAAGCCGGCATCTTCTTGCGTTGAGTTGCATTGCTGCGAACAAGA